AATAGCAACCCGGGTTACTCGGGTTTGGGCAGGCCGATTGAGACTGATTTCCTGCATAAGGACAGATAAGTTGGAATATTACAATACCTAATTATTAATATATTTAGACCGATATGTAAATTTAGACTTACGTACATACATGCCTAGTATCTGTACATCCAGTATATTACATATTATGTAACATATGCGCAATAGCATCCCTTTTTACATCTCCTTCCAAATCTACACCAAGTTCAAACTCATCGAAATTTACATGCATAGGTTCAATGGGTATTTCGTCTTCGTTATCAATGCAAATGTTATGTAACACACAACATGCAAGAATTATGAGAGGTATTAATTTTGTATTATATGCATAAACATATTTTAATTTTCGAAATCTGCCCAAAAACATACCAAACGCTCGTTCAATAACTACACGAGTTTTGGAATGTTTAGTATTATAAACTATTTGCCATTGTTGAAGATGGCCATTGTCACGATATGGTGTGAGCATACGATTAGTTAACGGATATGCTGCATCAGCAATTAAATAATAATAATTTTGGAAGTATCTTTGATCATCTTCTATTATTTCACGTTTAATATCGCTCATGTTCCAAACTCTGGAATCATGGACACTTCCACAAATGCCAGCAAACACATCTATAAATTTTAAGGAAGTATCACAGATTCCTTGCAAAAGAATAGAATAATAGCCTTTCCTGTTTATATAACTATGTGCATTTTCTGTGGGAGCACTAATCTGGATATGGCATCCATCAATGGCACCAATCACACCCGGTAAACCAGCTATATCTAAAAATTTTTGTTGAGAATTTTGCATTTGAACCGGGTTGGGCCATTTAATATAATTCTGTACATTTGCGGACAATGTTTCTGACACTTTTAAAACAGATCTCCATACAGAATCTTTGGATATACCAAATCGGTCTGCTATACTTCTGTAATTAATTGAAATATTAAAAAAATAATTTTCAATTGTTACAAATAAATGTTGTTACTTACCTATAAACTTCCTGATTACCAAAAAACCATAACGTCATTGCAATTTTCTTGTCGGGAGATATTATGTTAGGACCTCGATCCGAATACAATAACGGTCCAAAATCTTGAACCAGCAGTTCAAATGTTACTTTTTCTACACGAAAATGTGTTTTAAAATCTGGAAAACAAATATATTTTATTCATATTTACTAATTTTACGTGAAATTTACATATCATTCAGGTACTTTCATAAAATTTAGTTTTATTTTCAACAAGAAATCTAAATATACTGTCTTAACAATGTCTTATTATGAAATAATTATAAAATATTGTCTTATAAATAGAAATTTTCCTATATAATTATAATAACAGTTTTAATAACATAATAATTCAAAAACTTAATCACCGTTTAAAGAATATGTTCTAACAATATTTTCATAATAATTTGGAATTTTTAGTTCTCGAATTAATGGCAAAAACTCTTCTTCATATTGTTCATTAAAAAATAAATCCCATACATGTAGAAGATCCATTATTATTTCCTATGCGATTACATAATTAAGTTATTTATAATTATAGAATATTTAAAAAAAACATGAAAATGTATATGTATACGTATATGTATATGATATATATATTTATTATATACTATAAAAAATTTTGTATAAGAAAATAAATTACATTGACTTTTTAATACAGTACGCTTGGCAGATTATAAAGGCTCGTGACAAAGTCCAATATCTTGGTGGATAAGTCTGAAACAAAAGTATATATGTATGTACTATATATGTCATATACGTATTTATTATACATACTATTATCAAAATTTTATAAGAAAATAAAAATATTGACTTTGTAAATGGTACGCTTATGGGGGCCCGTGACTCAATCTTGGTAAGATAAATATAAGAAAAGATGTGTACGTGCGTGCGTGCGTGTGTGCGAGTGCGTGCAAAAACTTAACCCACAATAAATTATATTTTTATTAGGTTAGTATTTCCTGGATCAAAAAAACTCGTTACTTACTGTTAAATGCTAATTACTTATATTTAGTACGTATAACTTTGAACTTAAGCCTATGTTACAATCAAGTCTAAATTTACATATCGGTCTAAATATATTAATAATTAGGTATTGTAATATTCCAACTTACCTGTCCTTACGCAGGAAATCAGTCTCAATCGGCCTGCCCAAACCCGAGTAACCCGGGTTGCTATTAGAGACAGTTCGGGCAAGACATGAAATACATGAATCATTGAGAGGCGTACGCATGTCCGACCCAAACCTAACTCCGAGCGCTTCTTCGTAAGCACCCCATATGTGGCGACTAGCAGTTGCCCTTCTACACCACGACGTTGTTCATGGTCGTTGGTGGCGCTGTCCGAGCGGGACAGAATAAGTTAGTCGCAAGTCGTTACTCGCCTCGTGCACGTACAAGACCGGCCATCTTGTCGTGCCTCTGTGATCTCCAATAAAGCATATCTTTAAACTCAAAGCAAGTGAGTCATTATTACCGCCTTAGCCGAGAAACCAGCCTTCGGCATCGGAAGTACTGTGGCACTTCAGTCGGGGCTTCCGCATTTAATATAAGCCCACACATACAGTAAATATTATAACCTACACTAACCTAATGTACAAACATATGTGAATTTAATATTT